CATGAGGACCGAGAACATTCCTTGCAAATTTCCAGAGAAAGAGTAAGAAAAAATAGGATTCACAAACAATGGTTTTGGACATCTGAACTTCCAGAAGGTAGAGGCAACCATGCAGGCCTTTAAAATTATGAAAGAAAACGACGTCCTGCCTGACAGCCTGTATCTGGGCCACGTCAGTTAAGTTGAGGATGAAGCAAGGACATATTTCCACATACACGTTCTCAGCGTGTTTATCTCCTGCACGTCCTTTGCCAGAAGGCCATCAGCAGCTGTGTTTCTGATCTGGAACTCAACGCCACACGCAGAGGCAAAAGGAACGTCCATGCCATTAGTGACAGGAGCCCTCGGCGCCAGCTGTGTCGGAGGCTCCAGGGGAGACTCATGGAAGAAGATACTGAGTGATTTAACCTTCTCTTGACAAGACACTAAGCTAAGGCTGAGAACCACTGAGAGGACTGCAGAAAACCACGAATGCAGAAACAAGGCACCTGTTAACTCCAGAGGACACAGTATGGACGGGAACTCCAAGCAGTGCTTTCAGCTGTGCATATATTTGTATGTAATTACGGATACGATCAACAAGGCTTCCGACTGGCCCGAATGATGGTCCACCTGTACGGGTAGGATGAGGAAGAGAGGATGCAGGTGGGCAGAGTGGCAAGGAAGAAAGAATTAAGTGTTGGTGGTAGACAACAGGCCATTCCTTCATCCGGACGTCAAGAGGTGGCCATGCCTCAGCCTTTCTGTATTACTGTAGCAGAACACACAGACCGGGTAACTAACACAGAAAAGAAATGCTTTTCTCACAGTTTGGGAGGCTGGGCCACCCGCATCACAGTGACAGCTGCTGACAAGGAGCCTTCTTGCTGGGTCATCCTTTGGTGGAAGGTCAGAGGGCCAGAGGGCGAGAGAGGGGGCCAAACTTGCTTTTATAACAAGCCCACTCTGGTGATAACTATATTTAAGCCATTAAAAAAAAAAAAAAAAGGTTTTTTCAATAGGCAAGTGGACTTGCTGAGAGAGAGAGAGACAGTGAGAGGGAAAGTGAAAAATCACCCTCCAAGGGGATGGCCACTACAGAGACACCAGGATTTGAACCACAGTCATCCAGTGCCTGAACCACTACACTACCTGCTGGCACCCACCTTATCAGTTCAGGCAGAGCCCTTAGGAAGGAAAGACACCTCTCCTCAGTCCCCGCCTCCTGACACTGTTACACTGGGGATTCGGTTTCCACCATGCCTTTTTCGAGGACATATGTAAACCATAGCACCAATATCAAACATCAGTTTAAGTTAGAAATATGGAGGGAGAGAAATGTCAAAAGAAACAATTAAAATAGTGGCTCCTTGGGGCTGGCAGGTGGTGTGGTGATTAAAGGCACTGGACTCCCACATGGCCAACTGTGGTTCGAGTCCCGGACCTGGCAGCTTGCTTTCTCACTTTCCTTCTCTCTATCTCTCTCTGGTCCAATTAGAAAATAATTATAATAAACAAAGGTAAATAAGTTAGAGAAAAAGAAAATCAAATTAAAATATATATATATGGCTCCTCTAAAGAAGCAAAGTGGAGTGGGGGAGGCTGCTTGTCAACAGCGGAGGGAGCTGACATGTTACCCTGCCTGCCCTCAGGAGTCGGTGCCAGTTCATGGATGCTGGACGGAGCGGTCAGCTCACTGTGCACCCAGGAGCGGTGTGTCAGCATGTGTTTGTTCCCTGGACCCCGGTTCTCTCAGGGTGCAGAGGCGGCCTGCTGACTGCACACACACAGCGGGCTCACTACAGGGGAGAAAGCCTGAGTTTTGTTTTGTTTTAGAGAGATTTTTGGTATAGGGTGCGTGGGCTCGCTGGAGAGATGGTGAGAAATCACCCCTAGTGGGGATGGCCATGCCACAGTCCCTTGTCTTCCATTCTCCTCTTGGGATTCGGGCACACGCACACACGTCCCCTGGGTTTGAAGCTGCTGGTCCTGGACTCGAACTGCAGTTGGCCATGTGGGAGTCCAGCGACGGAAACCATTATGCCATCTGCTGGCGCCGAAGCCTGAGTTCTTTTGTAAACTGGCGCTAAGGGACGCCCGCCTTATGCTGCGGGGGAAGACACCGTGTTAAGGCTGCGGCTGCACAAGCTCGCTTCGTGGGCAGGAGGGACAGGCAGGCAGCGCCCCCTCACCCACGTGGACAAAGCAGAACGGGAACTGATGCCCAGCACGGCTCTGTTCATGCTCAGCCTCCTGGAAATATCTAAAAGTCACCTGCACGCGTAACCTCCCTGAAAGGAACAGTGTAACACGCTAGTTTTTCTGTAATCCGACAACGCGCCCAGCCCTCACTCCTCGGGCCTCTTCTCTGTACCAATGGAGACCAGAGTCCAGGAGAAGCAGAAAGGGCCACCCTAGCTCCAGGCAGGGCGGCAGGGCGAGCGGGTCCCGAGGAAGGTCCCGCGCTCCAGGGCACGGCCAGGCTCCCCCGGCGGCGCAGCCCGACGGGCTCCCGGGTCACCCCAGGCCGCAGGGAGTGGGCGAGATGGAACAGCTGCGGCGCTGGAGCAGCTTCCGCGGTGTTCGGGGACCGCAGAGCCCTGGGTGGCGGCGACCTCCGCCGGAGGCTGCCTTCGCTGGGCGATGCCCCTGGAGCATGGCGCGATGGCGCGGCCTGGATCCCCCCGGGGGCAGGACGGGAGGAGGGCGGAGAGCTCGGCTCTAAGGCCGCAGGGAGTGGGCGAGATGGAACAGCTGCGGCGCTGGAGCAGCTTCCGCGGTGTTCGGGGACCGCAGAGCCCTGGGTGGCGGCGACCTCCGCCGGAGGCTGCCTTCGCTGGGCGATGCCCCTGGAGCATGGCGCGATGGCGCGGCCTGGATCCCCCCGGGGGCAGGACGGGAGGAGGGCGGAGAGCTTGGCTCTGGCCTGGCCAGGGGCTGGACAGCGAGTGTGGCCCCCCTGGTTTCTCCACCGTCCCGTCCCTCGCCAGCGCGCACGGGCCCTGCGCCGGCTCACGTCCACCTTCGCGGCTCCCCTCCCCCGGCCTTCGCCGCTTCCCGGGGCGGTCGGGCTCCCCTCACGCCGCCCGCCAGCACCAGCAGCCACCGGCGGCCGCGGAGGAGGGCCGGGCCACGCGGATCTAGCTTATCGACCCATCTCCCGTTACATAAGGCGCGCCCCTATCTCTGCGGGCCATCGCCACCACCGCCGCGCCAGCGCGCTTCTCCCACGCGCGGGGGCACGCCTGCCCACTGCTCCCCGCTTGGCTTTGGCTGGTCACTGGGGGTCGGGGTGTTGACTCATCCTAGGGGGTACTCTGGGACTTGCACAGCCCGAGGTGGTTCCCCACTGCTTCCCCCATTGTAGAGACCCTGAAGGAGATGCCATAGGCCAGTTGGGTCCAGACAGGGAACCGGGGCCCATAGCGGGGCCGTGCAGGGCGGGGGGGGGCCAGATTCCTGGAGTCAGGGAGGGCAGCTAAACTGGGGAGCTTCAGGTGGGGAGGCTAGGAATTGGTTCCCGGTGGAAAGAGGGCCAGCCAGGCTGGGGGTTTCTGAGCAGGAGTGGGGGCTCCAGCACCCTTGGAAGGTCCTTCTGAGGAAGTTGAGCCCCACTGAGGAGAGGGCTGGGAACCCCAGCAGGTGGACAGGAGGCTGCAGGGGGAGGCGCTGGTTTTGGAGAGGAAGTGGGTAAAGGAGAGATCCCCACACTGGCACCCCACAGGCCAGTGTGGGGGCCTCTGTTGGAGGAATTTCCGGAGCGCTTACAGGGAAATGGGGAAAGTGGGGAGGGAGTCCTCCCGTTAGCCACCCTGCAGGGGTGGGCTGCCCGCCACAGCTCCCCTTCTGCAGAAGGGCCACTTCAAGTCCCCGCAAGGCAGGAGCTGGTCCCACAGAGACTGCTGACAAAGGTGATCACCCCACCTCTTGGTGGCACGAAAAACAGTCACCCCCACCAGCACCCCGGCTAAGATGGGATACCCTCCGGCCAGCCTAGTCCCCTCAGGGTTTCCCAGCAGGGCAGCCTATGGCTGAAGGCCCAGGTGGGGGCCTGGAGGCCAGGCTGCTGATACTCAATTATAATCAAAACCACTTTAAAAATGAAGTCCCTTGGGGCCAGTAGATGGCATAGTGGTTAAGGTGCTGGACTCCCACATGGTCAACTGTGGTTCAAGTCCTGGACCCCCAACTTGAAACTCATACCGAGCATGTGTGTTTGCGTGCCCCAAATCCCGAGAGCAGAATGGAGAAGGGATTGCAGCTTGGCCATTCCCCCTGAGGGAGTGGTGATTTCTCACTGTCTCTGCATCTCTGGTGAGCACATGAGCTCTTTAGCAAAACAAACAAACAAAAAAAGTCCCAGGAGGACCCCTGAGTTGTCTGGATCTTTCATTGGAGACCTAAGAGTATGAATGTTTACATCTTTTCCACCATGGGGCCAAGGAGGAACCGGGCGGGTCAGAAAACGTGAGCTTCACTCTCCTCCTTTGGTCTTATTTGGACTTCGTATCCAAAGCAAGTATTTCTTTCATGATTTAGAAGACTAATTCACTGACAAAAACACAGCCCCTAAATTCCCACCGCTAGTAGGCTATGGTCACAGTCGCAGTGCCACTGGGACACCCCAGCACGTCCAGTCCTCTGGTGGGGCCTGAGGACAGGAGCTCAGAGTTGGGGCAGCTGTCCAGGTGCGCAGGATGGCCACTGAGCCAAACACGGGGCTCAGGCTGGCATTGCTCACGCCAGGCCACACTCAGGGCCCTCTTGCCCACCCCTGGAGTCAAGCCCCTCCAGGTCTTGGTAACTCCGTCCCAGACCCCCTCAATAAGTCCACAGAAATCAAACTCTTTCCTTTAGGTGACGCTGGATTTTCCACCAAGTAAATTCAAGATAAGTGCAGATGTGGTTTCCAGATAGTGCCCAACAAAGCGGAGACCACGGTGTGAAGCGTCACCCTTGGGCCTATAAAAGCTGCCGCGAGAGGCCGAGGCCACAAGCCGCTCCGCTTGGCCAGCCTGCACATCTGCCTCTCAAGCCTCCGTGTGGCTCCTGGCTCCATGGCGCTCTGGTTGACCGTGGTCATTGCTCTCACCTGCCTGGGCGGCCTCGCCTCCCCGGCTTCCGTGCCTTCCATCAGGGCCCTCAAGGAGCTCATTGAGGAGCTGGACAATGTCACCCAGAATCAAAAGGTGAGTCCTGGCTGGCCCAGGCTGCAGCTCCGTGGGTGGGTTTCCCAGAATAGTCCTGAGAGGTTCTGAGAGCCCTGTGGGCCAGGAAGAAACCACCTGGACGAGGGCCAGGCCCAGCCATAGAGAAACGAGAGGAACAAGCAGAGTGGGAGACAGCATGGATGAACCTATGCAAGGGTGTGGCAGGACCCCAGAAACCCCCGCTCCCCTGGCCGGGCCCTGCCTGCCACCACCAGCTCCTTCTCCACCACTCCTGAGCGGAGGAAAGCAGACAAGGGCCAGCACCTCCCAGAACCATCTAGCATTTGCCACCTGGACTTTGAGCACAGTCCCCAGCCACGGTTCACGGCATCTCAGTGAAGCCTGCTCTCGTGGCGGGCTGATTTAGCGGGCTCTGCGCCTCTCCTCACAGAGAGCAGCCCCTGTTTCCAAGCACTGACTGTGCGCCAGGCCTGGGGCTGGGTGCTTTGTGAGATATTTCATCACCACCAACCACCTCCAAAGGCAGGCACAGCGACCCCATTCTGCTGATTAAGACTCAGTACAGTTGACAGGGGCTAGACGCAAACCAGACCTGGTCAAGGTGTCTGTGCTCCTGACAGTGCTGTTCCCCACTTCAGAAGGCGGGGTATTTAATATGCCAGCCCCCACCAACTCCCATCTGATCTGGTCAACAGTGCCCAGGCCACCCTGCCCTCACCCACCCCCTCCCTGGCCCTCCTGGGCTCCTGTCCCACCCTGGCTATGCCTGAGCCTCACATAGGGTTTGTCCCTTACCAGTGGTGTCACTCCGTTTTTCTCTCAGCTCCAAGACCCTACACGGTGGGTCACTCCCACCCCCATCACTGTGCAGAGCAGGAGATGCACCTTGGGAGCGTGGAGGGGTTGCCAGGCCTGCCTCTGTGTTGCAAAGGGAGGCTTGTGGGGCCCGTCCTCCTGGAGACCTGCCCCTCACTGTCCCGGCAGGCTGGGGCAGGCCCGCGCCCCGGCCGGCCCTGCTCACTCCGCTCACGCTCTCTCGCTCCCGCAGGCGCAGCTCTGCAACGGCAGCATGGTGTGGAGCGTCAACCTGACGACTGACGTGGTGAGGCCTTGGGCGCTGGGGGAGGTGGTGGAGGCTGTAGGCCTTGGGCTTGTCTCCTCTGAGCCTCTTTCTCAAGGCTGGAGGGTTTCAAGCAAGCTTTAAAAGCTGTGCTGTCGGGGCCAGCAGGTGGCGTGGTGGTTAAGGCACTGGACTTGCACATGGCCGTAATGGTTTGAGTCCCAGCCCCACTGACTTGAAAACCACACAGGGTGCAAATCCTAGGAGAAAAGGGGAGAAGAGATTGTGGCATGGCCATCCCCCCTGGGGTTTCCCTCTGGCTTTCTCTCTCTGTTTCTCCAATGAGCACACACTTCCTGTGGCAAAAAAACTTTAAAAAATTAAAAAGCTATCCTCCCTCATAATCTGGGCCCATCCCAGCGCCCAGACCCACCCCTGCGAGACCTGTCAGTACCCTCTGCCTGTAGTCAGTGGAGGCGCCGCCCGGGCAGGGCCTGACGCCCCGCGGTCTCCTCTGCAGTGCTGCGTAGCCCTGGAGTCCCTGACCAACGTCTCAGGCTGCAGCACCCTCCAGAGGACCCTGAGGCTGCTGAACGGACTCTGCACTAGCAAGAGCTCAGCCGAGGTAAGGCTCCCCAGCATCTCCCCGCTCCGCCAGCCCGGGCTTGCCCAGGGAGCTCCATGGGAGCCTGGCTGTCTTCCAGGAGCCCCCAGCATAGGCCCCAGTGGCAGCCAGGACGTGGCCTTTGGGGTTTACCTGGCCTCGGCTCCAGGGCACCTGACTCCTACCTGTGCCTCCGCCTCTGCATCTGTAAAACACGGATAGTAACAGTCCCCATCTCGTGGGGACGTTCATGAGGGCTGAACGTGGGAGAGTCCCTGGAAACCCCGGGGGACACCGGTTGTCCTGGCCTCTGTCCCGCTAACCCACTGGCCTGTTTGTCCTGCAGCAGGTCTCCAGCCTGCCCACCCGAGACACCAAAATCGAAGTGGCCCAGTTCGTAAAAGACCTGCTGAGACATCTAAAGCGACTCTATCGTCACAGAGTATAACTGGCGTGAAGAGTAGCACCCTTATCTGCAGAGACGGCCTGACCCTTGAAGTTGCAGATTCACTTTTCTTTCCGATGCCAGAAATTTCTTGGGGAAGTGGGAAGGTGGGGGGGATGGGAGGGTGAGATTTCCTTAGCTTAGACCTCAGCTCATGCCGCCTGCCCCCTGCCTGGCTGCCCAGGTGCCCCCTCCTGAGGGCAGACTAGCATTACAGCAGGTGCCGCCCTTGCAGACGGGCCTGAGGCAGAGAGCAGCCAGCGCGTCTGGCTCCTATTTATTATTGTGTGTTATTTAAACTAGTGTCTGTCAGTGCTGGGGACAGGGAGACTGCTGCTGCCCGCGCTGGCGCAGCCGGTGTTCGGGGTCCCTGGAATTCCGCTACCTCACTGGGCTCCCGGGCCTCGGGCCGCGTCTGAGCAGGGGCCAGGAGAGAGGGCCAGAGCCGCTCGAGCAGCCAGCGCGTCTGGCTCCTATTTATTATTGTGTGTTATTTAAACTAGTGTCTGTCAGTGCTGGGGACAGGGAGACTGCTGCTGCCCGCGCTGGCGCAGCCGGTGTTCGGGGTCCCTGGAATTCCGCTACCTCACTGGGCTCCCGGGCCTCGGGCCGCGTCTGAGCAGGGGCCAGGAGAGAGGGCCAGAGCCCCTCCTGCCCGCCAGCAGCCAGCCCTCAGCCAAGAAGTAATTTATTGTTTCCCCTCATATTTAAAGTTAAGTATTAAGTATGTTAGCAAAGAGTTAATATATTGGAGAGCAGCCTGGAACGCTGAGGGTGGTGTGCGTGGATCGGGGAGAGCTGTTCATGGACCGTGTCAAACTGGAAGCCAGAAATAAAGATGGTGACGAAGAAGCCTGATCGCGTGTGCCTTTGATTCGGGCCTTCAGAGACGCTGGTCTGTGGTCTCAGAACTCTGAGGGGCTCTGTGGGGAGCAGACTGGGGTGTGTGGGTGGGTGTTCAGGGTGGGGAGGGGGAGGGGCAAGACTTGGGCTACTACAAAGTGGGCCCTGCTGCCCACGGTGAGGAGGGGGACACTTGGGCCAGGATGTTGGGGTTCAAGGAGGGCATCTAGAGTAGGCAGAGCCCTCAGGAGTCATTGCATGACAGCAGTTCCTGGAGCAGCCCACTGTGTCTGCCTCTGCCCACACATGCAACTCGGGAACAGATGACAACTCTGAGGTCAGACAGGGTAGGTGGCTTGCCCAAGGTCACTCGGTTGGTAAGTGGCAAACCTAGGATTTGAACCTCAAACTCACCCCAACACTGAACACCACACACTTAACTATCCCCTCCCACCATCACCCGTCCTAACGTCACCCGGCCTGCATGCACTTTTTCCTTTCTAATGCTGTCGTCAGCCCGCCTGGCTCCCCCGCTGACAGCGAGCTCCCTACCTCCCTTCTAGGGCAAGCCCCTATGATTTCTGGACACCTCATCGTCAGGGCGCGCACTCACCACCTCTGTGAACAGGCTCTCCACTGACTCGTGCCTCTGGATCGCGGGGGAGGGGGGGCAGCTATAGGCCGTTCCTCAGAGCAGGTCGCTTTGCTGCCCCCTTGGCCCCGGCCAGCAGCGGGAGTGCAGGAACCACCGGCCTTGGCAGGTCACAGACGCCGCCTTCGCAGGGCATAGTGGTGCACGGGGGACCTGTCTTAAGCTCCAGCAGGCAGGCTCCCTCCTCGCCCAGCGTCCTGTGGGAACACCCACATGCTGCTCGGATGTCAGCAAAGGCAGCTGTCCCGGCAGGCGTACTCAGGGCTGTGTGGTTTAGGCCACAGTGGAGGACGTGGCAGCCCCTTGCTAGGGGCTGATGACTATGGTGACAATACAGGAACTGTCACTTCCACTCAGGGAGAGGCAAGCAAAGAAGCCAAGCCCAACAGCGCTGGGAGGCTCGGCCCAGGGAAGACTTGGGGAGGGGGCACAGGAACTGACTGGTCAGGGCTGGAGACAGGAGGGTCTGCTCTCTGTATACCCCGGGGGTACCTGTTACTTCCCACTGTGTTGGCAAGACCCCCTGTGGCCCAGCACCACACCAGTCATTTGGGCTAGTGACGACCAAGATGCCACATGAATGCCAGGTTTAGGACCAGAAAAAAATGCATTTAAAAATTGGAGGGTCTGGAGGTCAGCAGGTGGTGTGATGGTTAAGGCACTAGACTCCCACGTGGCTGACTGCGGTTTGAGTCCCTGACCCAGTGGCTTGAAACTCACACTGGGCACATGTGCATGCATGCCCAAAATCTCAGGAGGAGAATGGAGGAGAAGGGACTGAGGTGCGGCCACCCCCCCCCCGGGG